GTGTTTTAGTAGAGAGAGAGAGAGAGAAAGGGGGGGGGGAGAAAATTTTACCCTCCACGTAAACAGCAGTTAATAACACTCATAAAACCATTTTAAAAAAAAGAAATGTAAAAAATAAATGTTCATAACTAGTTCAAGGCCGAGTTAGCAGACAGTACAAAAGTAGAGAGGTGCCAAGGAGGCTGACCCTCAAGGTCAAGGAAGTGGCGCCATCGCCTGCTCTGGGCCTCCCTGTCAAATCTTCGTGCTGGATAATCACACCGGAAGCTCTCTTATTTTGCTGAAAGAACGAAACAAGGAGACCGTCTGAACGTCTGAACATGTCATCAAACTATCGGTAAAAGAAATTAGACAGGTTGCTACCGTACTTTAGGATTACAAAGTTCTATCTGACGTTTTTAGCCGTTTTGAGTTATTAAGAGAATGAGATCAAAAACCATTCTATCTGCTCTATCAAAATCGTGAGATTATCCGTAGTCGTTATCAAGATATTATTCAAAGAATTGTATTAAAAAAAGCTTGGCATTGTGCAAAACTCAAAATCGTTGACATTGAATTTCTCAAAACTAGGTACTGAGCAGATAGAACTTTGTCATTCTAAGGTAACGAGGTGGTTGCCTTACAGAACGTCATTATAATATTTTTTTAAATACTCAAGGGAGGCCATGGAAGTGGCCGTCTGTTCAGGTGATTGTCTTAAAGAGCTGGCCGTTAGAGCAGCTTCGACTGTAATTGCGACCCCATTGTGACCCTCACAATGACCGAATGGTGCACCCTAGCTCAATCAGTTCGAAAAGAAAGTGGGTAGATCAATTTTCTTTTCGGGTGGGGGGGGGGTAGTATTCTTTATTTAATCAAAATCATATTCCAGTCTGATGAAATCTTCTCAAGAACAATAAGATTATAGCACCTCATACTCGTACTTACCTCGGTGAAATATGCAATGAACTCTGCTTTTGATGCATCACCGTTTTCTGTAGAAATGAGACATTTTTCAAGTTATCAATAAGAGCATTTTCACAACAATAATGCAAATTGATTTATGATTTATATGCCACTGAGATTTATATGACCATATGGCATCTATACTTTTTTCATCCATAAACTAAGAAGAGAGAAAAGGGGAAAAGGGGGGG